GGTTGACTGCCATGTGGGTGCTGGGAACTGAACTTGGGTCCTCTGTAAGAGCAGCCAGTGCTCTTAACCACTGAGTCATCTCTCCAATCCTCCACTGACCTTTTTAGAGCTAAGATCTATGCAGTCCATGTCAGTCTTCAAAATGCAATTCTGCTGCCTCAGTTTGAGTGCTGGAATTTCAGGCTTCTAACATTAGGCCTGGCTCCAGCTCTTTTCTCCTTAAAGATTTATTTTTATTTATTTGTTTATTTTTAATTTTAATTTCTTATTTTATGTGTATGCATGTATTGCTTGCATGTAGGTAAATGCACCCGTGTTGTGTATTCTCAAGAAGGACAGAAGAGGCCATCGGATGCCCTGGAACTGGAGTTACGGACAGTTGTTAGCTGCCATGTGGGTGCTGGGATTCGAACCTGGGTCTTCTGAAAGAACAACCAATGTTCTTAACCACTGAGCTATCTCAGTGTTTGCCTGCATATATTATGTGCACTACATGTGTGCAGTGCTCATGGAGGCCAGAACAGGGCATTGGTTCTCCTGGAACTGGAGTTATAGGTGGTTAGGAGTTGCCTTGTGGGTGTTGGGAACTGAACCTGGGTCCTCTGTTAAGAAACCACTCTTTTTTTTTGAGACGGGGTTTCCCTGTAGTCCCAGTTGGCCTGGAACTCATTATGGCTGACCTCTTAAGAGAGCTGCCTGTCTCTGTCTACTGAGTGCTTAGGAGCAAAGGCCTGCACCACCCACTCAGATCTTTCAGTTTTCTGAAACAGGGTCTCATTCTGCAGTTCAGGCTGGACTAGAATACAGCATGTAGACCAGACTGGTCTCAGACTTGTAGCAATCCTGGCTCTGCCTCCTGAGTGCTAGAATTACAGATGAGCGCAACCATTACCAGCCCAGCTTTCTTCTGGAACAGATGCTAAATTTAGTAATCATACCTTGGTTATTGTCTTTGGAATCCAGAAAAGGGCTAAAAACCAAGCGATGTGATCATAGTGCCCTCTGGTGGTCATATGGGTGATTGGCGGTCTACACATTTCCCTAACTGCCATTTCACTGTTCTTCCTCACCTCCACCCCAACCTCACAGTCAGATATGATCTCAACAGGGCAGATACTTTTATCTATTTGCTCGTTGCTTTATGTGCAGTACCCGGCGCACACTGAGTGGTCAGTAGGCGTCCATGGAATGAGTGATGCTTTCAAATTCCACCCATCACTATGTTAATGTGTAAGCTCCCTTAACTTCATAGTCTCTTTGTAGGTGAAATGGACATGTTGACACTAACATACAGCCCCAGGGCCAGCATTAACTGAGGGATGGGACCCTGCACATACCCTCAGTCCCTGCTCGTTCCCCCTCTTCATCCACCAGTTTGATAAACTGATGGTAATGATCACTTTCACTTAGCAAGTCAATTTGTTTGGACATTTGTCAAACGGGGGCTTCACAATTAAGCACAGGAAATGACTTGGGTCATTTCCCAACCTAGTCCCAGGCTAGCCAGGCAAGAAGGAAGTGTGACCAAATGAACAGGAGACTAAATACCAAGTGAGGAGGAAGAGTTATCATCCTCCGTCATCGTGTCCCCCCAACCCCCTAGTCCTGCCCTGGGCCCCGCAGGCTCCCTGGCCCTCTGAGCCTTTGAAGTTCTACGCCCACCCTCCTTTCTTCCCGGCCACACTGGTGCCCGCATTCTGGCCCTCGGACAGTGTCCTCCCAGCTCCCGCAGGCGCTCTGCCTCGGATGCCGCTTTCTACAGTGCACTGAATCTACACCGGAAATGTGCTTATCTCATTGCTAGCTTGAATCTGATTGTTCTTGGGACAGGTCCAAATCCTCTGACCCACCATTTTGTGGTCTGGAGCCAGCCCATCGCCTAGCCATCTTGCGTTCCTGAGCCCAGCTTCAACTATTACAACACACAGTGCAAGCCATTAACTACTTCTGGGCCTCTGCCCACGCAGTGGCCTCTGCCTGGAAATCTACCTCCCTGCAAAGAGGCTTGTGCTGCTCTGGCTTGCCTGGGATCTGTTTCCTACCATCTGGTTATGGACTCCCCTTCCCAGTTCACAGAGAATACTGGAAGGGCCTACTCATTCTGAATTCAAGGTTGAACTTAAGATTCAGCCTGGCAGATTTCTTTAAGAAATTGTACCAAGGGGCTGGAGAAATGGCTCATGGTTAAGAGCATGTACTGTTCTTGCAGAGGACCTGAATTTGGATGCCAGTGCCCATGTGAGATGGTTTACAACTGCCTATAACTTCAGTTCGAGGGGATCCACCATTCTCTTCTGGACTCCAAAGGCACTTGCGCTCATGTGCGCGTGCGCACACACGCACAAACACACACACACACCACTTAATTAAAAATAACACAAATTTTTTTTTTCTTTTTTTCTTTTTGAAGCAGGGTCTCCCTGTAGCCCCAGCTATCCTGGAACTCACTATGTAGACCAGGCTGGCCTTGAACTCACAGGGATCCACCAGCCTCCGCCTCCCAAGTGCTGGGACTACAGGCATGCGCCACCACGCCCGGCATAAATATATTTTTTAATTGTAACAAACAAACAAAAAAGCTGGGCATGGTTTCACAGGCCTTTAATCCCAACACTCAGGAGGCAGAGCAGAGGCAGATGGATCTCTGCAAGACTGAGGTCAGCTTAGTCTACACAGGCCAGCTGGGGCTACAGGGAGACCTTGTCTCAAAAATTGCCTGCATGTATGTAAGTGGACCCGTGTTGTGCAATGCCACAGAGGTCAGAAGAGGGCTTCGGATTCCCCTGGAACTGAAGTTAAGGATGGGTCGTAGCTGCCATGTGGGTGCTGGGAATTGAACTCAGGTCTTCTGCAAGAGCAGTCAGAGCTGAGCCATCTCTCCAGCCCCACAAAATTTAATTAAAAAGAAAAGAGATCCAGGCCAGCTGGGGCTACAGGCAGCCCCTGTGCTGGACAGCTTTAGTGTCAACTTGACACACCTGGGTTGAGGGGGCCTCAATTGGGGAATTGCCTCCATTGGACTGGCCTGTGGCCATGTCTGTGGGGCATCTTCTTGATTGTTGAGTGATGCAGGAGAGCCCAGCCCACTGTGGGTGGCACCACCCCTGGGCAGGTGGGCCTATGTTGTATAAGAAAGCAGGTTGAGCATGGGCCAGGGGAACAAGTCAGTAAGCAGCGTTCCTCCATGGTCTGTGCTCCACCTCCTGCCCCCAGTTCCTGCCCTGAGTTCCTACCTTAGGCTCCCTGATGAACTGTGACCTAGGAGACATAAGGAAAAATAAACCCTTTCCTCCCCAAGTTGGTAGTGTTCAGAGTGTTTTGTCACAGTAATGGAAAAACAAACTAGAACAGACCCTGTCTCAAAAAGACAGGGGGAATAAAAAAGAGAGAATGTAACAGTAGCCAGGTGTAGTGTATGCTGATATCTCAACATTTGGGAGGTGGAAGTAGGAGGATCAGGAATTCCAGGGCAGCCTGGGCTACACTGGGATTTCTAGGCTGGCCTGGGCTGCATGAGCTACATGAGACTCTCTCTAAATACAAAACAAACAAAAAGCAACATTGTAGTGCATTGTGTGTGCTGCTACTGGGCACAATCCATTCTCCTTGTCTATTCCTGGAGCATGAGTTTGGGGCTCCCAATGCCCCCTCATTGCTGCATCTCTCCAGCTCTGATCTTACTTGGAATTCCAGGGATTGGGCCTCCCAATTCCCAGAGCACTCTTGAGTGCAGATTTCCTGTATTGGTACCCAGCAGTACTCAGTTCCATGGGGACTCAGTTCTCCGTCTTCAGGAGTGAAGAGTTGAGGCTCACAGATCTAAGCCTCCTGGAGCTAGAGCACCATGTTGAGAGTGTCCTGCTGTCCCTGGTGGAAGAACAGGATCCAAGTAGACATGGGCTCAGAGAGATGAGTGCAGTTCCAGGTGGTATATCTGGGCTGTGTCCCATGAGAATGTTCCCTTCAGTTCAGAGCATCTCCAACCGGCATCTCGGCCTCCAGGTGCACAGCAGAGCAGCAGGTGCATGAACTGTGTGGGCCTTGTTGGGCCCTATACTACCAAATGAGCTTCTTTTTTCCCTACCCACCTCTTTTCCTAAGTTCTCTAGTGGTCCCCAGGATTGATGAAGGGAGCATCTTCATCAAGGCCGACTGGGACCCCTAGAGATCCCCTGAGGATAGGGCCTTGTAGGTAGGAGCTGATTGTGGCAAAGGGTGAGAAGTATGTGTTCTGAGAGGTAGAGGAGGCCCCAGTGGCGGTCTCCTGGAAGGACTCACCTCAAGGATCACCTGCACCTAGGACCTCCTCATGGCTCTGATCCACCCGGAGTTGCCTAGGAAGGTTTGAGGGAGGTGAGCCCTAGGCATAAGGTAAGGACAGGGGTAGGCACAGAGGTGAGTGGAATGTCCCAGCTGAATGGCAGGTATGCTACATACCTTCAAATATAAGATGTCACTGTATTATTTGAAGAGAAAACTGTCCATGAAATTCTAACAAGGATTTTCTTATCATTTACAGCTTCTGTTTTACATTTGTTGAAAGAATTGTTTTGAGCTGGATATGGTGACAGGCCCTGGGTAGCTGAGGTAGGAAAACCACTGAAGCCAGAAGTATAAGGCTAACCTGGGCTACATGGATGGCAGTGTCCCTCAAAGAGTGAGAAGAAAGGGAAGGAAAGAGGGAGGGGGCAAGGGAGGGGAGGAAAAGCAGAAGGCTGGGGATGTGTCTATGTCAGAACACTTGTCAAGTATGCCCAAGCCCTGCTTTTCATACTTGGCACTGCAAGGAAAAAGAATGAGCTGCTTTGAATAACTCCAACAGGTTTTCCTGTTATGTGTCTTAAGGTTGCACACACAGACCATGGCTGTGTGATAACAGCTGCCAGAGTTAACCATCAGTTAAATGGGCTCCCTTTCTAGAAGATAGTGTCTTGGAACAGATGAACTACAGCAATTTCTAACATTTACTGACCATTTACCGTGTGCTAGTTATCAAAAGCTCAATAAAGTTGGACATTTATTAGACCCATTTTAGATGAAGAAACTGAGGTAACAATATTAAAGTCAGTCCTGCCAGATCACACAAGCAGAAGGTGGCAGAACTAGTGGACAGTCCAGGCTAATGTCAGATGTGTCCTGTTGGTCTCTGAATCTAAAAATGTGGGACCTGAAGTTTCCAGCAAGTCACAGTAATCCATGTGGTGGCCCCTTTTGTTTAGGACCTGCGGGCATGGGGCACTGGAGTGGTCCCTTCAGCAAACAGCTTGAGGGAGAAATCAAGGGCTGGGGCAGCCTGGGTCAGCATCCCCAAGGAGATGATGTCAATGTGGGTTCCACAGAACCGGGGGAGGTTGCTCAGTGTGATACCCCCACTTGCTTCCACAGCAAGGCTGGGGAACCTGGCTTTCAGTGCTGCAGCTGTGGGGTGTAGCTCCTGCAAGACACAAGCCAAGGGAAGGTGAGCCCCCCCACCCCAGGCCCTCCCCAGGAGGCTCATCCCACCTCACCTCAGGCTTGAAGTTGTCCAGTAGGACCAGATCTGCTCCAGCCTCGGCTGCCCGCAAGGCCTCCTGCAGGGTGCTACATTCCACCTCTACCTTCAGGGCGAAGTCAGCCGCCTGTCGGGCCCTCTGCACTGCCTGCAAGGGCCATGGGGACAGGGTGAGGATGGGCAGCCTGGCCCTGGAACCAGGGCCTGGCTAGCTAAGCTTTGGGTGGCCACGCACCAGAACAAAGGAGCAGAAGCAGGTCTGCCCTCCTGCCTCATTCTACAGATTAAGGGCTCAAAGATGGGGGTTTTGCATCCTTGATCACCTGTCACCTCTGGTACAGGGGAGAACAGTGATGAGGGTTAGGGGCAGACCAGAGTGAGAGCTGTGGCTCAGAATGACACACCGTTTCCACACCGCCCGCTGCCACCACGTGGTTGTCCTTCACCATCACCAGGCCTCCCAGGTCATAGCGGTGGGAGGCCGCCCCACCTACTAGAAGCCCATATTTCTCCACCAGACGGAAGCCAGGTGTGGTCTTCCTCGTTCCCGCCACGTGCCCAGTCCAGCCGGTGCCTCTGGCGACCCCCACAGCTGCGGCTGCTGCGCTGGCAATTCCGCTGCAGCGGGCCAGGGTGTTAAGGGCCACACGCTCCCCCAGCAGCAGGTACTGGACAGGTCCCCGGACCTCTGCCACCTTGACCACAGGGGCCAACTTCGATCCCTCCGGGAGGAACCAGGACACCTGACAGCTGAGTTGGGCAAAGATGGCATCGAAGAAAGGCCGCCCAGCCAGGACTCCGGGGGATTTGGCCCACAGCGCTGCCTGCGCCGGTGCTGCCTGGGTGACCAGGGCTGCGAAGTTGAGGCTCGGGCAGTCTTCCTGCAGCCAGCTGTTGGCCAGGGCTGCCAGGGTCATAGGGGGCAGCAGGAGCTGCAGGCCTGAGGTAAGAAGAGAGACAGCTGTTGAGCTTCCTTTCTAGCCTGGAGTGACAGCCAAAATATTTAACAGCCTGTTCAATTGGGCGCTAGCCCGTCAGAGTGGAGCTCTGGCTTCCAGGGGAGGGGTTAGGACAGAGGTAGGGCCTGTGACCCAACAAGGATGTCAAAGCAAATAAAAATATCAGGCACTTAGCTATAACAGTTTTATAAGGAAGCTGGACATGCTGGACCAGGCCCAGCTCTCCTGGAGGCTGATGTAGGAGAATTGCAAGACCTTGTCTCCATAATAGTAATAATATCAAAAATAATGACAAATAAAATTTAAAAGTAAGGCATGCTCCTTCCTGTCATTACCTATTTTTAAATTTTATTTATTATTTAATTTTTTTTTATGTGCAGCTGGGCATGGTGGCACATGACTTTAGTCCCAGCACTCAGGAGGCAGAGTTCAAGGTCAGCCTGATCTACATAGCTCCAGGCCAGCTGAGGTTACAGGGGATCCTGTCTCAAAAGACCAAAAAAATTTTTTTATGTGTATAAGCTCAGCTCTGTCGTGTAATACCCACTGAGGTCAGAAGAGGTTTGCAAATAAGTTTTACA